AGAAGGAAGCAGCTGGATGGGAAAAGCAGACGGGATGGGCAGCGACAAAGCCTCAGGAGAGAACTTCAGCATGAAGACGCTGGAGAGAAGCGAAGTGGGGGAATCTGGATCAAGAAAAGCATTTCCAGTTCGAGGCCTGGACTTCTGTGCATGTAGAGGGAAGTTGAAAAAGACGGACTGAAGCAAGGAGAGAGATGAGCTGTAGCTGAGGGGAAGACGAGATGAAAGGATGGTTTTTAATTTCCTTTTCGGTTTGATGTGAAGATGAGGGGAAAGTATTGTAGGTTGAGTGGTGTTTTAGGACCCTTTGGGTGAAAGTGACCGCAAACCCCACTCAGAATTGCTGAACAGGAGAATGAATTTGCCGACATGACTGAAGCCCAGAGGTGGGTCTGGCTTTGAGCAGAGCTGAGTCCACGGTTCAGCCTTTCCTCAAGGCTCAGTTGCTTTCCTTGCTCAGAGCTGCCTCTGGGTTGGCTTCAGGGGCCCTGGCAGACCCTCCTCATAGGCGACCCCCGTGGCTCCCAGCTCAGCACCTCCAGCAGAGGATGAGTTTTCTTATTTATTTATGCAAGAACTGGGGTGCAGGCCAGAAGTGCAGGAGGTGAGAGGAGTCACCAGAGACATAGTGGGGAGCAGAACAGGCAGATGAAGTGAAATACACTGCTGAGGGGAGCAGCAGGGGAGGCAGGAGAGGTCTGCTGCGCCATGTGGGTCACCTCCCTGGCTGGCGCAGGGATAGAACTCCCTGCAGTGGCTGGCAGCAGCTTGCTAGTGCTGTCTTTAACCCCTGCGCCACCAGGGAGGCCTGAGGACGAGTTTTCTTGGCGGAGCCCCAGTCCCAGATAGAGTCTCGTAGGCCTGGCTTAGGTATGGACCCACCTCCCAGCGAGGGTGTGCAGTTTGGCTAGGCTAGCAGTGGGTCGGCCCTACCCCGCATCCCACAGGCTGAGAATGGGAGGATGCAGGGACCCCAGGAAGGGAGAAGGGGGCTGCCCCGCTGCACATGGAGAGGCTGAGGATACAAGAGAAGGGGACAAAGGAAGAACAAGGTCCCTGGACAACTGGACCTGGGGGAGACTGGAAGAGACACTCCTCAGAGGGACTGAGTACAGCTGTGGATAGGTTGCTGTGGCCCTCTCTGCCTGGTGAAGCAGGGGGTTCGACTTGGGCTACACAGAGCAGGGGAGGGATAGTACATGTGAGGAGTGGGGATGGAAGCCCACTAGGCTCACTAGGCAGCCTAGCCATGTCTTCCTTCACATAAACCCAAGTCAGCTTACAGCCTGTGAGGTCACCACATAACCCAGGTGCTGGGTAACTGGCAACTGTTTTGATCAGGAGAGTAATAAGGGAAGTGTTAGTGCCACTCCTAGGAAGAATTTTCTGGCTGCTCCTTAGGCTAGACTGGAGAGTAGGAAATGTGTAGGGGGTTTGAGAGACCCACATAGATCATGTTAAGCCTGGAGTGACAGTAGTGACAGCCAGAAAGCAGAGCAAGGGGGGATCTTCAGAAATCAGCAGGACAAGAAAGCAGGTGGGAACAAAGAGGAGAGGCAGCCCATTGGTCTGTAGTAAAGGGATAGAGGAGCTTGGGTGGGGTGGGGTGCTGTACATCTGAGGTATGAAGCTACTCCCTTGAATCAGGGCTGTAAACCAGGTACCTCAAAAAAAAGTTACATTCAAAAAAAAAAAATCAGTAGTACCTGGTGACTGAGTAAAGATTTGTTAAAAATCTGAAGGCCTAGAGCGAGTGAGAGACTAACTTGGGCCTTCTAGAAAGGCGGGAACCGGAGGCAGAGCTGCCCCCGCTCCAGCCTTGCAGCTCTCCCCCTGCCCCCACCTGTCCTGCAGAAGCACTGTACTACACTGACGACACGGCCATGGCCAGGGCCCTGGTGCAGTCCCTGCTGGCCAAGGAGGCCTTCGACGAGGTGGACATGGCTCACAGGTGAGGGGAGTGGATCGTGGGGTGAGGCAAACCAGGGGTTGGTGGAGTTATTACCCCCTAGACCGGAGTAGTGATGTCCTTCATGCTGGGACCTCCACTCTCACATGACAGGTTTCCCCACCGGGAAATGACAGCACTGCACTGCAAGCTCCTTGGGGCCCCAGGGTTTCCTCCCCCGCCAACCAGCCAGATGTCTTCTCTCCCAGCCCTGACAGGCATCTCCTGATTCTGGCTCCCTCCTCTCCCCTAGATTTGCTCAGGAGTACAAGAAAGACCCGGACAGGGGTTATGGTGCTGGAGTAATCACTGTCTTCAAGAAGCTCCTGAGCCCCAAGTGTCGTGATGTCTATGAGCCTGCCCGGGCCCAGTTTAATGGCAAAGGCTCCTACGGCAACGGGGGTGCCATGCGGGTGGCCGGTGTCTCCCTGGCCTACGGCAGTGTCCAGGAGGTGCAGAAGGTAGTCCAGACAGGCTGGCCCCTGGGCTCCCCTCCCCCCCTGCTCTGAGCTGGGTACTGTGACAGCAGGTCTTTGCCTCCACTGCCTTTGCCCTAGTTTGCCCGGCTCTCGGCCCAGCTGACACACGCCTCCTCCCTGGGTTACAATGGCGCCATCCTGCAGGCCCTGGCTGTGCACCTGGCTTTGCAGGGTGAGTCGTCCAGTGAGCACTTCCTGGAACAACTCCTGGGCCACATGGAGGAGCTGGAGAGTGATGTCCAGTCCATCTCGGATGCCAGGGAGTGAGTAGTGGGGCGGAGACAGGCTGGAAGTCTTGGTGAGTGTGCGTGTGTGGTGGAGTGGGTCTCTGACATCGCCACAACCCGAGACCTTCCTTCTTTAACTGAGCACCCTAAGAAGGGGTGGGAAGAAGCCCCTGGGGCTTGGCTATGCTTTGAGGCTCTCCCAGAGGACAAATCTCTCCCCCACTGCAGGTTGGGCATGGAGGAGCGTCCATACTCCAGTCGACTAAAGAAGATTGGAGAACTTTTAGAGCAGGACTCGGTGACCAGAGAAGAGGTGGTGTCTGAACTAGGTGGGTAGCCTCCTGCCCATCACCCTTTCAGGGTCAGCCCTGGGTGGGCAGTCGCCCCTCCCTCACAGTTTTGCCTGGGGCTGCAGAGCCATGCTTTGTTGGGTCTTTGACAGGTTGGGAGCATAGCACCGTCTCCCTCTAGGGCTACAGCACTTTCAGCCTGACAGATAAATGTCCCCGAAACAGCAGCAGACCACCAGTTTTTATAGCTAATATTGACAACTAATGTTTTGTGGGGATGGCACTGCCACTGTGGGCACTCTGCAGAGCACGTTACGCATGTGGTCTCGTTTCACTCTCACCCCAGCCCTGGAAGAGTCACTCCATTTATTCACTCTACACAACCTGACTGAAGCTGAGTGTTGACTTGTGACGTATCACAGGAAGCCTGGGGCCCTGGGGTTGGGGATATCGTGTTCCCATCATCTGCTTTCTCCACAGGGAATGGCATTGCTGCCTTTGAATCTGTGCCCACTGCCATCTATTGCTTCCTGCGCTGCATGGAGCCTCACCCAGAGATCCCCTCTGCCTTCAATGGCCTCCAAAGGACTCTCATCTATTCCATCTCACTTGGTGGGGACACGGACACCATTGCCACCATGGCTGGGGCCATTGCTGGAGCCTATTATGGGATGGAGCAAGTGCCAGAGAGCTGGCAGCAAAGTTGTGAAGGCTATGAGGAGACAGATGTCCTGGCCCAGAGCCTGCACCGGGTCTTCCAGAAGAATCCATGAGGGCTACAGCTGCTGGGGCTACTTCATATCTAGTAGGACCAGCTACAGCTCAAATTGGAAACCCTGAGGCTCCTGGGGCTTGGCTCCCTGCCCCAGTCTTCCTGCAGTTGGGCGGAGGGCACATTGGGGCCGGGGGTCTCTTTGGGAAGGTCACTGAAACGGTGCGTGAGGGACTGCTGTGGCCTCCCCCTCCCCCCCGCGAATGTTGGGTTTCTGGCTTGTTGCAGAGCCTTGGGCACTCCCGATTCCTAGGTGATACATGAGGGACAAGGGAGGTTTTATTTTATTGTGGCGTTGTTCTTTTATCCAGGATGTGGGATTGGGGGGAGGTGGAAATGACCTGCAATAGCAACATTTTCTCCTTGTTGGGATTTCACCATTTTGCCAGAAGCCTGTCTTTGACCACACAGCGCCCCCAAGTGGCATGTTTCTCTGGATCATGGAGATGGGCACTGGAGTCTGGCTGATCTAGACAGACACCTGGCCCTTGGCTGCCATGGAAGTTCACGGCTTCCAGTGCAAGTCACAGAGCAATAAACAGTTTTCTGTAAATCCCTCCCTGGCTCCTGAGTTTCTCCTCTGCCTTGAGTGGTTTCTTACCCCTTGGGCAGCTGGACCTCCATGCCTAGGGTCCGTCTCTCTGGGCTGCACACTTCTAGGAGCTAGGAACCCGAGGCGAGCTGCTGTATTGTCAGTCACATTGCTCTGGTTCCCCCAGCCAGCTGCGGTGTTGAGCCAGGGAAGGCAGAGCAGGCCTGGTTGGGTGGTTTTTGCTGTTGACCGTCCCTCAGAGACCCCAGTAGTGGGCAGGAATGAGCCAGATTTCCCGGCTCCTGGATCCTGACTTCTTCATGGGTTCCCAAATAGGACCCAGGCCTAGCTGGGCCAGGAACAGGACCCTTGTGGAAGCATGCAGAGGGTGTCCTCTATTACCAGCCTATATCAGCGGGTTCATAGGGGTGGTCGGTGGGGGGATATCATCTCTTGCCCTAGGTAGACTGAAGGCCCTAGGCCACATTCTATATCTTGGACCCCAGACAAAGGCCCTGTTCCACAAGGAAGTTTTGAACACCAGCCATTTCAAAGAAGGAAAACTGAAAGGGAACACATCCCCTCAAACTTTAGGGGTATTCCTGGACCACCCTTCCAGCCTCAGTCACAATAGAAGCATGCTCAGCTCCTTAGCTACTCTCAGGATGCAGGATTGTTGGCCAGGTTTGATTTTAGCTAAGATGGGGTTCTGGGACAAACCACAGGATTTTCATGCACAGATTGTCTCTGGTCCATGGTCCTGATTCCCACGGCCAGGGATGGGTCCCTAGCTGCCAAGAATGGTGGGCTGGGGGCAGGTGCTTTCTGCCGAGGACAGCACCCCCTACCCTGCCTTGAGTGTTGGCCCTGGCACCAGCCCCACCCTCAGGAGCCGAGATTCACAGTTTCATTCATAATTTGTGTCAGATGTTAAAATTGGCCCTGGAGATCCTGTGCTTGTGGTCATGGTCCACTACTCCTGCGAGCTTGCAGGAATGTTCCAGGGTAGGGTGATCCTTCTCTCCTAGCTCCAGCCACTGTCTTACTTTGGTTCTTAAAATGCTTCTTGGCATTTACTTGGTGCAGAGCTTCAGTAGCTTAGGAGCACGGGCACTTCTGATGCGGACAGAACCAGTGGCTAGGGAGCAGCGTGGGGAGGAAGGAGGCTGCATTCTTCTTGGGAGAAGACGTAGGGATTCCCAGAGAGCTGCCTGCATGCCTAGGAAATCCAGAGGCTGAGACACCTCTGCATCGATGCCAGCTTCATCACTGTGCTGTTTTTACAACAGGTTTTATTGAGGTGGTGTCAATACAGTCGGTACCGTTGTTTTTCTTTAAAACAAGTCCCATTTTCTTTGACTCCCGAGTGCATTTTTCCCAAATCCTTTGTGACACGGGGCACATCGTAGGTATGTAGAGAACTAAGCTTCCTATGAGGTTAGAACTGACACTACTAATGGAAAACACTTCAACCTTAATCTTAAGAAGTTGGGAATCAGATAAAAACACAAGGCGATGTAGTTTTCATTGATAAAACCTGACGTCATTTAGCAAAGCTAGTCAGCTAAGTGGACACCTGGACCTAAAATCCCATAAACATTTCAGAAACACTCATAAATCCCTCCCCCACCCCGGCAAAGGCTTCAAGAATGCTGTGTTGCAGCAGCTCGGGTCTGAAACAGCGAGATTGCTCTTTTGTTCCCGGAGCCCTCCTTGGTCCCTGGGGTGCATGGAGAGCCGAGGGCCCCTCCCTAGCAGGTCAGATGGTGCCTCTGACCAGGAAGGAGTTCGAGTTGAGGCCTCCTCAGCCCCCCGCACCCGCTGCAGGTAGCATTTGAGACTCGTCCTTTCGGGTGTTGGGGAGTAGGAAATCCACCATGAAACCCAGCCGAAGCCTGTTCTTAAAGTGTCACTTGAGCAGATTTGGATTTTCATTACTAGTTTTGAAAGTTAAGGTGAGCAGTCAAATGGCCTGCTGTGTTTGGAGTTGTGGGTGGGGAGGAGCAAGTCAGGAGCCAGCAGTCACCCTCCATTTTCAACATAGGCAGCCCAGGCACAAGCTCATGTCCTGAGCACTTGGTGTTCAGGAAAGTGGGCTGGCCTGAGGAAAGACGGGGAGCTGGGCAAGAGACCCCAAGCCATTGGGAATGTGGCCAGCTTGCAACAGTGCACCCATCTCTGCTCCTGCACTTATCTCAGTTTTACCCACCCAGCTAGAACCAGGGGCTGAGGGCTGGGAGGGGAGCCCGCCTGTCCTGCAAGGGAGCTCTGATTGGAGAAAATAGCGGAACCATCTAGAGCCAATTCACTCCAAAGGGGCCTGTCGGTACTTTCTCTCCAAGCCTCAGCCTCCTGGGCCCTAATCCTGCTTAGAACAGGAAATTGGAACCAGAGGGTGGAAGAAGAAGCCCCCACAGATTAACCCTTCTAGTAGACACACACAGGCACCATGTGGTTCTTATGAAGGAAGAGCAGGAGCGCCTCCATCTCCCGGTTTGTGTGCACCTTGTTCTAAGGGCCAAATAGAGGCTCGCTGCCTTAGGGATGCCTGAAGTGGGGGTGGAAAGGTTGCCTTGCAATTCAGCCCTACCTCCCCCGCCCCAAGCAGGTAGGGAGTGAAAAAGGGAAGATTCCTGGTCACTGGTCACCTTGTCCGACCCCTGGTAGTCCCTAAAGCCTGTGTGGTTGCCCTGGTGCTAGGCAGCCAGAGTTGGTGGGGGCGGCCTGGGAGGTGAAGCTAAACCACAGGGCTGCCGTTCTGCCCAGGTCCATGCCCTGCCTTCTCACAAACCACTTTGCTCATGGCCATGCTGGAGCAGTGAAATGGTTCTGGCCCTGCAGAGGGGGCCACATGCCCGTACCTGCCACGGGAAGGCTTGATAGACAGCCTCCCCGGGGGGTGGCCACCTGGATGGCCTCTCTCCCTTTCCCCCAAAGGGATACAAAAACTCTGCAGGGGACCAGCCTTCATGTGCTGGAGGCCCTGAGGGGCGCTGGAAGAGCCCCAGCCAAGAACTGAGGGAGGCCATGCCCCATTCCTTAAAATGGAACCAGCTTAGGGTCAGCAGGAAGGCAGAGCCAGGGAATATGTCTCAGGGAGCATTGAGAGGGGAGCGTGGCCCCCTCAGCTCGGACTCAGAAGCACCTTCTTCACCACCCAGCTGAGCTCCGGACTCCAAGGGCAGGTTCTCCAGAAGCTGGGCTGAAGGTCCTGGGGCCCCTGCCTGTAGGCCAGGCAGGGTGAGGGATGCAACCCCAACACTGCAGAGACACTTGGGGGAGAGGAACGCAGGCCAGCCTCTTCCAGAAACCACCTCAGCCGCTCCTGAAGGGAAAATCCAAGTCAGTCTCCTTGGGTCAAGACTGCAGTGGCCTCTGCTCAGCTTTCGGTGTCTTCTTTAAATGCAAGTTCTTGGTAACTGAAAAGGTGTCTCTACCGCTACAGAGGAGGCGGCCCGGGCAGCAGCGCCCCCCAGGGGTTATGTAGGGCAGAGCAAGAATCCTGAAAAGGAGGAGTGGATGTACTCGGTGGAGTAGAGGCCGTTGGCCTGGTCCGAGGGCATCTGCACCCAGACCTGGTCGTTGGGCCGCAGCTGCAGCACGGCCCCGCCGGACGCCTGGTCCAGGTAGCCCTTCTTGTATTCGTCATAGGTGTAGGTGGCTGGCACGTTGTTCTTGTACAGAGCCACCCACACGTTGGTGCCCTTGACGTGCACATGGTAAGCAAAGTAGTAGACCCCGCCCACGGGGCAGGTGAAGATGCCGGTGGCCGGGTTGTAGCCGCTGTGGCCGTTGTAGAGAGTCCGATCAAACTTAACAGGCATCCCCGAGGCGGGAAAGGGCGAGGTGAGCACCGCGGTGAAGGCTGGCGTGGTGTGGGCCGACAGCTCGCCCAGGCCAAACTGTGGCTTGCCCCCCTTGCCCAGCATGGCACCCTCCACGCCGCCATTGGGCAGGTGCAGGCCTGCAACGCCAGTCTCGTCCAAGGCCCCAGGAGCACCGGGGGGCCCAGGAGGCCCGGGGGCCCAGGAGGGCCCGTGAGTCCTGGGGAACCTGGGACGCCGGGGGGCCCCGTAGGCCCGGCCAAGCCAGGTTCCCCCACTTTCCCCTCTCCAGGGGCCCCAGGCAGGCCTGGTTCACCCTTCAGGCCTGGCAGACCCTGGGGCCCAACAGGGCCAGCTGGGCCTTGGAGTCCTGGGATTCCCGAGGGGCCCCTCAGGCCAGGCTGCCCAGGGAGCCCCAAATCACCCTTCTGCCCCAGGGCTCCTGCCAATCCTGGTCCCCCAGGGCGGCCTGTGAAACCTGGCTCACCCTTGGGTCCAGTTGGTCCAGGGGGTCCATGGGCCCCAGGAAGCCCCCTCTCTCCTGGGATCCCAGGTTTCCCAGCCAGGCCACTAGGCCCCTGATCACCTCGAATGCCAGGCACTCCTGGGGGCCCCCCAGGCCCAGTCTCCCCCTTAAGCCCAGGAGGGCCACGTCTGCCAGGGAGTCCTGCAGACCCTGGAAGTCCAGGAGGTCCCCCAAGGCCCTGTGGGCCCTGTTCCCCCGGCTCCCCATCTTCCCCTGGCTCACCCCTGTCCCCCAAGAGCCCTGGGACCCCAGCTGGGCCCCTGTCCCCCTTCGGGCCTGGCAGGCCTGGCATCCCATAGCCAGTGGGACCTATTAGGCCAGGGGGACCTCGGGTCCCTGGTTCTCCTTTGGCGCCTACTGGGCCCTGTGGCCCTGGCACCCCTGCTGCCCCTGGCACCCCCACTCCATCCACCCCAGGGGACCCTTTTGGGCCCAAAGCACCTGGCTCCCCCCTGGGCCCTGGTACCCCAGGAGGCCCGGACTCACCCTTATTTCCTGGGGCCCCAGGAAGCCCATCCAAACCTGGTTTGCCCAAACCAGCTGGACCAGGGAGGCCAGGGGGTCCAGGGGCACCCCCCTGCCCTGGGGCCCCAGGCAGCCCTGGCTGGCCCACTCCATTATCCCCCTTGAGACCTCGATCACCTGGGGGCCCAGGCTCCCCTTGAGGTCCTGGCTCCCCACCAAATCCTGGGGGCCCTGGAATCCCCTGAGGGCCTGGTTTTCCAGGGACAGCAATGCCTGTGGGTCCAGGGAGGCCAGGGGGTCCTGGAGGCCCCCGGAGGCCCTGGTCCCCTCGTGCCCCTGGCTCCCCTCGAAGCCCAGGCTGCCCCGGTGGTCCAACCTTGCCTGGGAGCCCAGGGGGACCAGCTTTGCCCATCCGGGAGAAGCCAGGGGGCCCAGCAGGGCCAGGTTGCCCATGTAGACCTGGCTTTCCAGTGCCTGGTTTTCCTGGGAAACCAGGAGGACCAGGAGGCCCCCGAGGCCCAGGCTTCCCAGGGGGGCCAGGCTCTCCTTTCAGGTCCATCGGCAGCAGTGGTAGAGGCATTTCTGAGAGAGAAGGAGAGAGATGGGGGTGCAGTCAGAGGCTTGGACAGTGGGAACCAGACACCCATCTACCCGCTCCTGCATGAGATACACTGGTGAGAAGACAAGGCTCTGATTCTGTCCCTCTGTCCCTACTGCCATGGGAGAGGGAGTTTAGGGGTGGTCCAATGGTCATCTTGGGGGCTCACCCCCTACCCAGGCTGGGCCTTCCCAAGAACTTGGGGTGACTCATACCTGCATGCCCTGGGGGTAGAATGACCACCAGATGGCACCAGCATCCCTCCTTTGAGCCAGTCAGAACAGACCCCCCCACCCCAGCTCCCACACGCCTTCCCACCCTGCTCCCTCCCATCCTGAAGACCAATGCACCCCGATTCTGGGCCCTGTGGGTATCCCGAACCAGCATCAGGAGGAAAATGGAGATAGGTGACAAAGTGGTGGGGATTGAGGGGCTGTGTCTGGAGAGCCTGAGAAGACCTGGCAGAGGTCGGGGAGGCAGGGCAGGGAGTTGGGGAGTCAGGCCCTAGCTGAGACATTATGGGGTAGGGAGGTGCTCACCCAGGTACTGGCCCTTGCCCTCTCGGAAGGGTGGCCCCACGGGTCCTTTGTGCATGGGCTGCACGTACTTCACGGGCGCGTAGCCCGCTGCCCCGCCAGCCCCACCGCTGGTGGCCGTCCGGGGCCCGTACCCCAGCAGCAGCAGCAGCAACAGCAGCAGCAGAGGTGGCAGCGGCAGCGAAGGCAGGGGCGCCAGAGCCCCCCGCATGGCGTCCCAGGGTGTGCTGCAGGGAGGAACCGAGAGGGCCATCCAGTGAACCCCTCAGTGGCTTGACACCAGCCCCAGGGCTCACAAAGAGACCCACATTAGGGCTATTCACAAGCAATCCCCAAAGTGCCAGTGTGCAGAGGTGACCTCCGCAACCTCCCCAGCCCTGCCAAGGCTCTCCATCCCTGCCACCACCTGGGGGCCCCCCACCACCAAACGACAGCCTCCCCCAGACCGACCACTCCACAGCCAGACCCCCGGCCAGAGCAGCCCTACGTCCTACGCCCTTTGCCCTTGGCACACTCCTGCCACAACCTTGCATGATAATACCCGCTACCACCCAACGGGCCAGCTCTCTGCCAAGCAGTGGGCTAAGCTGTCTGGAGACAGGGACTCACTCAAGCCCCCCAACACTTCACAATGTTGATGCCCACCTGGACTCCCCACTGCCCTCAGGATTAAGTCCATGGTGCCTCACATGCTCCTAGGCCCCGGGCGGCCTCATCCCTCTGGGCCTCTGCACCCTCTAGTTCTCAGCCTGCAATGTTCTTTCCCGCTCCTGTTCCTCGTCAAGGAAGCTGTCACCCTGCCTTTACCAAGTCAGCCCCTTCCTGTGTATCCCAACCTAGCCCCGTCACAGCATGTAGCTCAGCTCCAAAAATAAGAGTCAGAGGCCTCCCTGGTGTCCTTGGGGTTAAGTCTCAGCACTGTCACCAAGACTGAGTTCGATCCCGGCCAGGGAGCTGCCCACCTGGTGCCGCAGACTCTCCAGTCTCGCCCACTGCTCCCCTCAGCAGTGTATTTCAGTAGATCCGCCTGTTCTGCTCCCCACTCTGTCTCTGGTGAATCCTCTCACCCCCTGCCCCTCTGGCCTACACCCCAGTTCTTGGATGCAAAAATAAATAAAACAAACAAACAACAACAAAAATAAGAGGCAACAGGGGCAGCAGGGGCTCTAGATGTGGAGCCGCCTATGTCCACTCTCCTGCTGGGGTAGCTTGGGCAAGAGGTTTCCACTCTGAGCCTCAGTCTCCTCCTCTGTAAGATGGGGTAACACATCCACGTGGACATGAACATGAGCGTTGATGGCAGCTTTCTTCACAGCAGGCACAAACTAGACAACACCGGGGCATGGGTGGGTGAGTGGACGAGTGTGGCACGTCCACACGGATCCGAGCAAGTGCTGACAGCGGCTGCGCTACACGGAGCCGTGACAGACTGTGCCACGTGGAGCAGCCACGCCGCAGGATTCCCTGTCCATGAAGTGCCCAGAAGAGGCCAATCTCCAGAGGCAGGGAGTGGATTGGTGGTCGCCTAGGGTGGGGCCAGTGACTGCGGAAGGGTCCTGGGCTTCCATGAGGGGTGAAGAAAATGTTCCAGAATTGACTGTGGTGACGGTTTTGAATTCATTTTAAAAGACTGAATTGTACATTCTAAGTGGGCCATGTGCAGAAAACGTAAATGACACCTCAGTAAAGATGCTATTTTTAAAAAGTGGCCTAACAACCAGCTTCTCAGGGTCACTGTGAAGGTTGGAGATACTGTCCACCTCTTGGGGGCACCCTCGAAGTCTGAATGGGGGACTAGTTGGCACTGTGCACACCCAAGGGGAACCCCACGTCCCTTCACATTCCTGCCCCGAGCTCCCCTCAACCCACCAGGGACCTCACTCTACCAGTGCCTGGCCTCCCTGGAGATTTGGGGGTGCAGAGCCCTCTCCAGTGCTGAGCTGAGTCAGGGGTTACACTCAATGTTGGTCCAAACTCAGTGTCACAGGGAGCTTGGCAGGAATGCGGGTGACGCTGCCAGCCCGGCTCCTGGGTTAAGTCCTAGCTCTGCCAATCCTCTTTTTTGTGACCTGCCTGAGCCTCGGCATAATAGTAACGTCTGCCACACACGGGGCTCCCCACGTGCCAGGCCCACAGCACAGGCTGTCTGCTCTGTCTGCCACAAGCCTCACACCAGCGCTCCTGAGGAAAGTGAAGGCCCCACACAGGCCTGGCCCTGGAGGACTGCCGGTGGGGCGCTGCCCTGCTGTCCTACCTTCCTGTGCATGCATCCCTAAGAGGAGGAAGCCAGGGTGAGCGCAGCACCTAAACCAGCAGTCTGACCTTTGAGCCCCAGGCCCCAAACACCATATCTTCCTCCCACCTCTCTGGGGCAGGATAAGGGTCCTTCTTGCATGGGCCACCTGAGTTGAGGGAGCCAATGGGTTGGGTGTGAAGGTGTTCACACTTGCACATTCTGCAGGAGGGGAGGGGGACGCGGGGGGAGCAGCAAGCAGGCAGAGAGGTCAGAGCCTGCAGGGGGAAGCAGGGAAAGGGGAGTCAGCAGTCCTGACCTGGGTGGGTCAGAGGCACAGTCATGGCACCAACTCTGGAGGCAGCCCTGACTCCGTGGAGCTGACTCCTTCCCATACTGAGCCAAGCTGCGGTCTCACCAAGGGTGGGCAGTGATGGAGGCAGCCTCAGGCTCCGCTCAGAGGCCTGGAGGAGCACAGGCAGGCAGGGCACCATAGGGAGAGCCCCAAGTCTTAGTACGGAGTCCAGACAGGGTCTCCAGGAGTGCACCTCCTTGGCAATGCAAGGTCCAGAGCGCATCCCTGCCCCCTCTCCCACGGCTCCCTAGCCCACCCCAGCACCTCCCCATCAGCAATGGTCTGAAGTGGCTCCTGGCCCGTGTTTCTTCTGGAGTGAGTGCGTGAGTGAGATGCAGCCCCCACTGGCAAGCCGTATCCTGGGCCAGCCTAGAGCTGGAATTCCTGAAGGGAAGGAAGAACTATTGTGGCTCCCCTTTTTCTAGATGAGCAACCTGGGGCTTGGAGAATTGGGGAACCAGGATTTGAGCAGAGGTCTGTTAAGGACCTGAGCTTTAAAAAAAATAAAACAACTCTCTTTATTTGCAACTGATGCCATTATCTACAAAAAATCCTAAGAAGTCTACAAAAGACTCACTAGAACTAATAAGTAGGTTGAGCAAGAAGCTGAGCTCTTAACCACTGTCACACAGGCCTCTGGGAGAGGGCGGGGCAGAGTGCCACAGAGCTGGCAGCAGCTAGACAGAAAGAGAAGCACACTGAGAGTCTCTTCCAGCTCCCCGCGCCTGTGGGTTTGGGGAGGGCAGGGTTACCCCAACATCCAGGGCTTAGAGGGGAGACTGGCATGTGCCAGTCTGAATAGGGTGCTGGGGGTGGGCACAAGCGCACAGCCAGAGAATGGGTATGCTGGGCCCATTCGAGGGGTACAAAGAGAAGGGATGTCTTCCTGGAATGTGATGACACAGCAGGCCAACGGGGTGCAGACCCCCCCCAACCCCAGCCACCATCAGAGCCAATGGTGCCTGGGCATCTCTGAGCCTCCTTTTCCCAGCCCCCCTGTATTCCTCACACACACACGCCCCAGGTTCCCTGAGGCTCTCTGGGCTCTGCATGCTGTCCATGTTGCTCTGTGCTTCTCCATGTTGCTCTTCCTTACTCTGGGGCAGCTGGGAGCCTAGCAGACCCCTCCCCCAGACCTGCAGGTGTCTGCCTGCAGGCCCCTCTCTACTCTCATTTCCTCTCCAGCTCTTCTCCACCTGCCACACCCCCTCCCCCCACCCCATGCCCAGCACAGACTTGGCTGGCACATGGTGATGCTCGATAGATGTTCAATGAACTCAATTCGCCAGCTAACTTAGAGATCACACCAGCAGCTCACCAGGTCCTGCCCTCAGACTGCACAGAGACACATCTCAGGGCCCAGGGAGCCACTTCCCTGGTGAGGGGTGGGGCTGGTGTCAGCAGGAATGGGAAGAGGCAGGGACAGTCCCCGGACCTCAGAGAACTTCAGCCAAGAACTTTGGGCACCGGGAGCAGAGGCACCAGGGGAAGACAGAGTCATGCCTCTGCCCCTTGTTCTCCCTGCGGGCGATGGGGGCCAAGCAGGGTGTCGGAGGGCAGGAGGGCCCTCAAGTTCCAGCCTGGCTCTGCTGCGTGGCCGTGGGCCATCACCCTCTCTGGTGACCTCTTAGGCAGGCAGGCAGGAGCGAGGGCAGCCGGGAAGGGGCTGGGCTGGCAGGGGCATGAGGTGGGATTCATAAGGAGACGCTGAATCAGGGTATTGAGCGGCGGCGGCGGCGGGGCAGACGCGGTGTTTGGACAGCTGCAAGTCCTTAACAGGGATTTCCCCCCTTCGCAACAAATCCCCGTAAAACAGCATTTTGTCCAAGTCAGCGTTTTGCGGCAGCCTGGGCCTCCTCCTGGGCAGCCAAGGAGGCTGGCTAGGAGCGGGTAGAGCTCCAGGCCGTGTCAGACCAACGCAGGGGGAGGACGGGGCGCCAGCAGGAAGAAGGAGCATGAGCAGACCCTGGACATGGCTGCCGAGGGGAAGGGGCCTCACTCACTGGGACTCTTCCCCGCCAGGCTCTCTCGAAGGGTCCTGCCCACCTCCCCCATCCCATCGCACAGATGAGCTCACTGAGGTCCAGAAGAAAGGAGGGGTGTGAGGGAGGGCGCCCCAAGCTCCCAGTGGACTGTGCAGGGTGTGGCCCCAGCAGCCCCCCTGGGGGTGGTGAGCGGAAGCCCCCACGCAGGCGCTGGCGCCTCCAGGCCCCCAGCCCACCCCACCCCAGATGGGCGGCTGCAGCTGAGGAGAAGTGAGGAGGCTCAGGCAGCCCCGGGCCTGGCCAAACCACAGGTATGTTAAGAGACGCTTCCTGTTGTGGAGACATTTCTGTGGATGGGCTGCTCCTCTTGCGCCCTGGTGCCTCTTGTCTCCCCACTCACCCAGCCCCGCTCTCTGCTCTCTCTCCCTGGGGCCCTGGCCCTGGCTCCTTTCTCTCTGTGTCTCCATCTCCCAGCCACAGTCTGCGGCCTCAACAGGTGAGGAGCATTTGTTGCTCAGGTTCTCCCCTGAGGCCCTGCCATGGGCGCCCTCCTCCGCCCAGGTAGCCCCTGATTCCACTTCCAAAAACAGCTACTTGCCAGCTGGGTGATGTTGGGCAAATGACTGAACCTCTCTGAACCTCAGTGTCCTCATCTGTGAAAGGATTAACTGAGATGATCCAAGACACCAGCCCCTCCAGGTATGCGGCCCTCTCCTCCCACCCTGATGGCCAGAAAGTCCTCCTTTGTCTAACTTCAGCCTCTCCTGCTGCAAAGTGGCATCCCCTAACCCGCTAGCCCTAAGTGTGACACCCTCACACTCAGGAGGCTTGCTGTCAAAGGACAGGAACTTGTGAAAATGTCCCAGTCAACTTTCTGGCCTTCTAGGTCAGAAGGCTCCTGAGATGAAACTGACTGGGGGTCACCTGGCCTGGCCAAGACTGGGATGGAGTTCTGCATCTTGGTCCGGAGCAGGAGGGCTACCCTCCTCACCCACTGAGCATGATGCCAAGCTCAGCAGCTCCAACTTCTCCAGGCTTCCTGAGCCCCTATCCCCCACCTCCCTCCCAGCTTGCAAACCAGAGAGCTCTTACCTGAGTCTCAGATCAAGGGGTTCTTGATCTGGTTCCCCAAAGCCAGCCCAGATCCCTTGCGCTGCTTTCCTGGAGACCTGAGTGTCTATGGCCGCTGTCCCCCCACCAGAGCCTCTGGCCTCTCTATGCCATCCACATAGGCCGAGCCCCGACCCTGGCCCAAGCCACTCACATCTCTCTCCAGCTCTTCTCAGCCAGTTTCTTGAAAAAACTGTCTCTACACCCCCCTCACCGGCTTCCTCCTCCCCCTCACCTCATGTTTTTTCTCCCCAACACTGAATCCCCCTCTGACCCTGCTTTCCTCCTTCCTGGAAGGAATCCTCAGACTCTTCTCTGCTCCTTTCCTCTGGCCCCCCTGCAGGCCCAGGTCTGCCCCAAGGAGCAGACTCCACCTCGTCTCTCCCAGGATCTCTCTCCTGCCGCTGCCAGCTCTCACCAGCTCCCGCCGTTCACCCCCATCACCAAGGACTCAGCATCTCTCTCCAGGTACAAACTCTCCCCTGAGCCCCAGAATCATGAGCATTTTCACCTGGCTCTCCCTCAGACACCTCTATGCAGGCATGACCTTTCCTGGGACTTGCTATCCCCACGCCCAGGCTCCCAGACCCGAAACCTGCACATCACTTCTGACCTATCCCTCCCTCCTTCCAGGGCAGGAAGGAATTTCTCCAGCCTAAACAACACAATTAGAAAAGCCTACTCTCCTTCCAGCCCAGCCAGGCCCCACTGCTTACCTTTCTGGGTGTCCTTGTATGGTAACCAACCTGCACGAAGGTACATGACAGCCCAGCATCTAAAGCCACCAACCTCCCTCCCCCAGTAGCCGATCCTGGGAACTTTGTCTCCTCTACTTGTCTCATCTCAGTTCCTTCCCCGCCTTCCCCATAGTCTCTGCCTTAATACAGACCTTGTCCTCTCCCAGCATGGTACGTCCCAGCCACTCGGTAAAGATGTGCCCAGTTATACCACCAAATTCCCACCCTCACCCCCAGCTTCTCGGTGTCCCTCGGTAGTCCTACAGATACTCCAAGTGTTTTACAAATTTTAATGTGCATCAGGCAGTGTGTTAAAAGATGGGTTCCTGGGCCCCACCCTTGGACCCCAATTCAGTTGGGCTAGGGCCCAACATCTGCATCTCCAACAAGCTCCCAGATGATGCTGATGCTGCCTGTCTGTGGACCACACTTTAAGACAGCCCTGCCCCCCGCCATCCCCTGCTCTGGATTCTCCAGTGGCTTCCTAGTGCCAACCTGATAAATTCCACGTTATTCTGAACCCACATAGCCTCCTGGAGGAGAAAGCATACTTTAGACTGGCAAGAGGTAGACCAATGAGGATGGCAACATTGGTGCTGAGCCCTGGCAAAGCACTGGGACCAAGAGTGGGGGGACACACTCTAGATCAAAGAGTTACGTGTACAAGAGGGAAGCTGGCTCGCTACCAGGGACCATGTGCACCACACCTCTCTGTGTCCCATCTTCCGTGTTTCTGTGTCACTGACTCCAGGTCCTCCCCTGCCTGTGTACCTCTTCATGTGTCTCTCCCCTCCTGTCTCTGCGTCGCCATCCCACCTGTCTGCCCAACTCTGTCCTCTTCTATGTTCTTGTACCTGGGTCCCTGTCTGAGTTCCAGGCTCTGTAAATCTCTGACGGTTAGTCACTTATGGCGCCCCTGAAGCCAGCATTTATGGCCTTAATGCTCATGCTAACATCAGATCTCTGTCTGCCTCCCTGGACCATTCCTGAGCAGCCCCACAATGTCTGAGTGGGAATTGAGGGGTCCAGTACCCATGAGCTGAGCCCTCTGTCTTTCAGGGTCACTCCGGGACTCTGGATACCTCAGATTTAAATATGCAGGTGTGAGGATTGCCCCGCTGCCTGGAAATTGGAAGCCAGAGGATGGAGGGAGGTGGTCAGACTGGGGCAGAGCTGCCTGGGATCCACTTTGCCATCCAGGTTGATGGAAGACAGGAGTACTGCCCCCTTCCCTGCCCACCTTGTCTGCCCAACTAGGCTTCAGTTCCAACAGCCCTCACCCCTGTAGATAAGGCTCTCAGACCACAGGGCACCTTAATTTGGGAAGCAATATTGAAAGGAGGCTTGAAGGACAGGGCAGAGTTCAACAGGCCCAGGGGTAGAGATGATGATGGAACATTCCAAACTGAGCAGAGCAATCATGGTAGGGGGTGGGGTGGGGTAGGAAGGGTTCTGCATAGGGGGCTATAGGCAGAGAACTTGTGAGTCTGGAACTCAAGAGAAACACAGGCTAGAGATAAAAATAGGTGAGTTGCTGCAGCCTGGAGGAAAGCCATGGACTCATCCTTGGAGAAAACACCCATATTTAGGGAATAAGAAGAGTTCACTGTACCCCTGGTTCCAGACAACCCAAACTTCTCAATGTTTCCCTGTACCCACCTGCCTGCCTTTGCCCGCATGATCCTGTCTGCCCTACTGCCAACTATATCTCTTTTCTAAGCAAACATATTATGCCTCATTTAAGACCCATTTCAAATGCCTCCTCCTACAAGCAGCCTTCCTTGCCTCCCTCAAACAGAACAACTCCTCCTCCTTCTTCTTCCACCCCCACCTCATTCCTGAATGGGGCTGGGCACACAGCAGGTGGTCAGTACAGTCTGCAGCTGGGTGCTCTAGCTCCAAGGCTCAGACAACCCCACTTTCTACCTTCAGCCTAGCACACAAGGTGGCTTCCCATGGGACCCCTTTTTCTTGCAACTCTTCCTGAGTCCTTCTCAGTTGTGAGTGGGTGGGGGCTTGGGCTGGACCTCCCTCCCCATGGCAACTAGGTTTACCTCCCAGACCCCAGGAAATAGGAACAGCCAGGACCCTTCTTTAGACCAACCGGAAGAGGGCCAACAGTGAGCTAAACCTGGGCAGCCCTGGGCCCTCGGTCAGGTGGCCAGGGAACTGGCCCTTCCCTGCCGGGGACTCAGGCCTCAGCTGGCACCAGTGCTCACTTCCCAGCAGATGCCTTGAGCTTCTGACAAGGACTGGCCCTTGGAGGATCCCCCTGGATACAGACACCGCCAGTCCCTAGACTGGGTCAGGCTTGGCCGCCAACCCCTCTCCTTCTGGTTCGCATTTGCATCCTTTTCCGGCGCGCCACCCGCCACCCGCTGCTCCCAAAGTCGGCCAAGATTCCTGGGCCTTCGCGGCTTCCCTGCACGGTGGCGGCGGCGGCGGCAGCAGTGGCGGCAGCAGCGGCAGGAGAGTCCCGGTTGGCAGGGAGGGGTCCTGGCAGGAGTGCAGCCAGGCCACTGCGCCCGAGCAGGCCAAGCAAACACAGGCTGTGCCAAAGAGCAGAGGCAAAATAGTTCACAAATGAGAAAAAGCTGCTTCCGAGTTGGGCTGGGATTTTAAAGCCCAGGCAGCAGGGAGCTGAGGTCACCTGCAAGAGGGGCTGCCGGTCAGGACACCCTGGGCCGCGGAGGCGCCAGGCTAGACAGCAGCAAGCAGGGGCCCACCCAGTGGGGGGATGATAGCGAATGCTGCCCCCAAATCTCGCTTACCTTTCAGGTCAGGGGGCCTCTGAAGGTCCCAGCCTGGGTGAGACCTGAGGATGAAAGAGAGAAACAATAAGATGCCAGGCATGTGGGCTGCCTCCTGCCCTAATTCACAGCCGCCCAGTCTTGCCTCTCCCCAGGATCCCCTGATGAAATGTTAGCCCCAATCTCAGTCTCAGGGAACCAGAATTTGCCCCACACTCACCAACACCCTTCATTCATGTCTTGCACACGTAGTGAAGCCACTGGGTGCCTAGCCCTGGCTTCCTCCCTTCCTTGGGCCCCGGCTGAGTATGTCCCCTCCGTGTGCCAGCACCACAGTGGAGAAGCCCTGCTACATACATCAGGAACTGGGCTGGGGTGGCCCCTACTAACTAGAGCCTCGGATTCCTATTCAGGAAGCTCCCACTATGAGGGAGCCCCAGACTGGACCTCAGGACACAGAAATGGCTCACTACCGCCCTGCCCTGCTCTGATTAGCTGGGGCATCAGACAAGGGGCCAGCTCATGGTCAGCTAAGGTCACTCTGCTGTGGGAGCACAGAACAGGGAACATTCCTGCCCTTGAGCTTCCCCAGAAGGCTTCCTGTAGGAAGGGACTGTGGCGCAGACCCTGCGGGGTAGGTCAAAGTCTGAAAGGAAGACAAAGTAAGAAAAGGAATTTCTGGCACTAGGAAGCTGCCCTGTAGATATGGGGGAGGACCAGACATTTCATGGCTTGGAAAGATAAGCAGCAGCTAAGGCTTGGGGGGCAGAATGAGGAGCCTTGAATGCCATGCTCACATTTTTCTAGAAGGCCATAGGAAGCCACAGAAGGTTGTTGGAGTGAGGGGGGATATGGTCATAGCCTGATGACCAAGTCCTCATTTCTTCCTCAAACAACCCAGGATGCCTGGCTATGTGGCCGCCAGCCCTAGTCCAGGTCACACAACTATAGCCAGGGGAGTGGGAATGTGGTCCAGGCCCAGACGTGAATCCTGGGGAGGGGGCACCCAGCCAGCCTACCTGGCAGGGAGGCCTACTGCCACGTCACTCTCTCCCCCAGCTGCTTGCTCGCCCCTGCCTGCTCCCATGGAAAGTCTGACATCCCAGCCCTGTCTCTCACTGCACAAGCAGCCAGAAGCCAAAGCCAGCGGTTCCTAAGCCTTTTCTCCGATTCACTTGAGCTCTGTCTCTGTCCCTGCCACTCTGAACAACATGCCCCAGAGATAGGTCATGAGGCTTCTCTCCAAAGGTCTTCACCACCTAACTCAAACCCAGTTTCTTTGGCTCCAGCCCCCACCCACACCATGAGGCTCTGAAGTAAGGGAAGTGACTTATGTTAGATCTAGGCTTTGAAGGATGAACATGGTTTTAACTGGGTGGTGGCAGGGAGAGGCGATCATTCCAGGCCAAGAAAACAGCATGTGTGAGGATATGGAGGTGTGAATGCCCTGAAAATATTCAAGGGAGGGAAACTGAGGGAAAGAAGTAAAAGAAAATGAACAAACAAATGAGCTAACTAATCAGAGCTAACGTTTGTTGTGCATCTACCATGTGCCAGGCACCGTTCTGGACTCATCTCATAGATTATCTCATTCAATCCTCACAACAGCCCAGTGAAGTTGATACTTCATCTTTCCTTTTTACAGATGGGGAAACCATCTGTAAAGGGAGGTTAAGGTGGCCCAAGGTCACCTGACATCTGTCATCTGACAGAGAGGTTACGTAATTGGCCCGAAGTCACACAGCTCATGAGGGGCAGAGCCTGACCTTGAACCTAGGCTGTTGGTTCCAAGCTTGGGCACATATATATATATATAGATAGATACACACACACACATACATACATACATACATACATACATACATACATATATACACACACACAGACGATTTGAGGGGAGATAGGCTGCCTGCGGTCAAACTGAGAAATGCCATAATATCAAAATCAGAGAAACCCGAGGCGCACCCAAGTTGGCTGGTTCCTTGTTCCCTCCATCCATGTTAGCCCTTAACAATAATGGGCTCTAAATGCCAAGTGCACTTTGCATCAGACATATAGGCATGCTCGAGGCATTCTTTCATCAAACTCCCCCATGACCCTGTAAAGCAGGAATTGAGTGTGATGCCGGCAGTGGGAAGCAGTGGGAAGCCATGGATGTTTGTAGAGGGGGGAGGCCATAAGGCCAGAGCCCTGGATGGCCAGGTCCCCATTTCTGCCTCAAGCAATCATGACAGGCTCTGTCATAAGTTGTCCTATTTTACTGAGGCCCAGAGAAGTGACATCCATTCTCAAAGGATGCAGCAGTTAGGATTCACAGGTGCTGAATCTGAACCTTGGCGCCTGCCCAGCCCCCAAATGGCTGAACCCCTATACGCTTGGGTTTGCTGGAAACCTCAGCCATCGGTCCTTCTCCCACTCTCCTCCACCTCCACTTGTGCTGCCTGAACCCATATGGCAATGGGGCCAAGCAAGTCTGGGAACAGAGTGGGCAGCTCCCCTTTAGGGCCTCAGGAGCCCACTCCAGTGGTCCAAGCTCTGTTGATCCTACAAAATAGGAAGCTGGGGCGGTGGGCGTGCCCAGGCAACGCCTGAGCCAACTTCAATGGGACTCTGTTCTTAACCTCCACCCCCAGCTGCCTTCCCTAATCTCCTTGAGCCTCTCCCCTGGCGACATCTCTGCCTTGTACAGAGCCTGCTGCCAGTTAAATCCCAGGTCAGATGTGGGTAGAACAGTCTGCACCCCCTGCCCACCCTACCAGCCTCTGACAGCTGCGGGCTTCCAGAGGAGGCTGGCCAGGGCCCACATCCCTGTCCCAGCTTTCTAAACTGAGGTGCTGATGGCCAAGAGGTGAACAATCAGCTCCTCTTAGAGGTGGCTTGTGGGAGAAGTTCCCATTTCTGAGTCATACCAGGAGCAGGCTCTGGGCTGTCTTTCTTTAAAAATCCTGGTGGGCTAAGAAGCGCTCTATAGCCCAGCCCCGCGCGCTCTTCCCCAGCCCTGCCTCTTACCAGCATGTGAGCCTCAGCTGCTCCACCACACAGAGTGGGGACAAGTGCCCTTCACAGAGCATCCGTGACTTCAAACAGTGGTGGACTTCAAACAGTGCTTGGCATACAGGAACATTCAATAAGTGTTTCCTACTGTTATAATAATTATCACCACCATGACACCTCTCAAAAGCCCTGCAAGGTTAGTGTTATAAACTCCATTTTACAGATGAAGAAATTGAGGCCCAAAGAGAAGTCACCTGCCCAAGTTTGCCTAGCTACCCCTGGTGGCCACCCAGAATTTGGACCCAAATAGAGTGAGTCCCTAGATGAGGAGGACAGCCCCCCAGTTCCCTGGAGCTGAGGCACAGATTGTGTGTGTAAGGGGGGGGTCCTTCACACCCCCTTGGGCTCTCCTGCCTGACCCAGCGCTCCACCGCCCAAGCCCCTGCTGCTGCTGCTGCAGGAGGGGGCTCTGCATTCCTGGCTAAGCAGCGGGATTTGCTGTGCTCCGGGAACTATGAGAAGAATGTTTGCCATGAGCTGAGCTGTGGTCGCCTGTCAGAGGGAGTGTGGCCCAGAGGGCCCACGCAGAGCTGCAGAGCTGCTTGGCAGTGGCAGCCAGCACAGTGGGAGGGAAGGAGGCAGATGGAGGAGAGAACTTCCGGGTAGTGAGGGCTTCCAACGTTGATGGGGGTGGACACCAAAGAGTCAGCCTCCAGGAACTTTCCAGAGAAGAGAAAGGACCCTCCCTACCCTACCATCTCATGGCTCATTGGCACTAGCTGTAAGGAGAGCAAGGTGCTTTGACTGACCTTCTTACGGATGGGATGATGGAGACCCAGAGAACTCCCCTGAGGTCACACAGAAGCCAGTGACAGAAGAGAAGCCAGGACAGGACCCTCAGTGCAGCCTCTACCCTTCCTCCTAGAGGGCCCTCCCTCACAGGCCCCCCCAGGCCATGCAGCTGCTTAGATGTTAGGAAACCATCCCAGCCCTCACTGTCCGGAACCTGACCTCAAGCCTGCTACTCCCCACAGCCCCCTCACCCCTCCAAAAAGCACCTGCACTGTGAAAAGGCCTGGCACATTGGGGCTGCTCAACAATAAACTTCCATTCCTTCCCCAGCACACAGGTCCTAGAGAGGACAGTGAGTCCTGAGGTCTGGGTGAAGCACACAAGCTGTGCCTCCTCACCCACCGGAAGTGAATCCCACATGATACTCAACAAGGCGACACCTGGCTGGGGGGAACACCCTCAGCCTCCACCTCCCCTTCTGTTAACTGGGCTACTGATACTCTTACAAGCACTTTCACAAGGTCTAAAGGAGACATGAGCACAAGACCTGGGACCTGGGGCACGTAGATACCTGACAGACTTATTGCTGCCACTCTTCTCAAGGGCACAGAAAGACTTGAAATTAGAGAAATCAGGTGACAAGGTTCCCTCCACCTGAGGTCCCTGAAGGACCCTTCTAGGAAGGGCAGCTGCTGGGAGGGAGGGAGGCCTGAGCCCGGCTTTCTAGACTCCATCCTGTCTGGCCGCTGTGTGCCTTCAGGCAAATTCCTCTCTGAGTCTCCATCATCCCATCCATGAGATGGGCCAATAATGCTGCCCTGGCTCTCCCCACCAGACTCACTCTGTGCCACCCTCTCCTTCTGCCCCCTAAGAGCCAGAAATCTCAGCCCACCCAGATTATATGGGGACAGTGACCTCCCAATTTAAAACTTGTGAGACTCTGAATGGAAGCAGTCGGAGCGCTGTAACAGGCCCTGTTCAGAAGTCTGGATGAAAGTTCCAGGCACTGCACCCCAATCATGTTGTGACATGGGTCACTCCTCACCTCTCTGCAGGAGCATATTAGCAGTTCCTACTTTATAGATGGGGAAACTGAGGCACAGACACAGGACATGCCTCAGGCAGTGTCACATGGCAAGTAACCCAGGTCCGTCAGCTCTTCCCCTTGCGTCACATGCTAGCCTGTGACTAGGTGTGGGCTAGTCCAGATCCACGGCCCACACCTCAGCACCCTGGAAACACCACAGAGCAGAGTGGGTCTGTCCCTCTCCCTGAGCGTGACTTCCCTGGCTGATGTCTGGGCACACGTGTATGCACACATGGCCTCACACACCACCAGACTTCTGTACACACCCCAGGCCTCCCAGATGCTACCCACAACTGATGGCCACACTCCACACCCAGCTCAGCATACCAGACCCCATGTCCCTTTTACCTGGCCCCCGGGAGTAGACCACAACCACCCAGTTCAGGGTTCCCGGACTTTCCTCTCCTTGCTGGAGGCCTGTCCAGTCTCTTTCTTACTCCCCTCCATCTATTTCTTCCTCTCACGGCAACCACCCACTTCAGCATCCAGCACCTTCATACTCTAACTCTACGCAGCCGCCACAGCAATCCCCTTGCCTATTCCCTCCACCCCTCACAGACAACCAGATTGCACCACTCTGCCACTCACACCCCCTTTCTGGAGAAGGTTCCTGGAAATCTGACCTAAAGTCATTGTGAGACCCTCCCACTGCCTTGCTGAGGAAGCCCACAATCACCCATGTTCCCTGGAAGCACCCTGCAGCTCCCCACCCACACCTTTGCAGGTACAGCTCCTCAGACTTGCGATGGTCTCCCATTCGCCCTTTCTATCACCTGCACTGTCAAAATCCCGTTCACCTGGGAAGCGCCACCAGGGTCACCTCTTTGGTGTGGTCTCCCCTGATCACCCCCCCCCACTTTGGCTTAGATAGTATCTCCCCTTGTGCACTTCAATAGCACCCTATGGCACTGCTGCACCCCATGAAGCCACTGTGCACCTCTAGTTCTTCCAACCTAGCTCTGTAAGGGCCTGGAGTCACAGATGGGGCCAGCTCATGTGAGGCTCCCCCTTTCCTACAAGGGGAGCCCCAGGCCTGCCATTGGGGGATCAGGAGTGAGACAGCAGGGCAGGAAAGCTGGGGTTCTGTCAATCTTTGGTCTGGCTCAGATCCCAGCAGGGGAGGGAGTAGGGGGTGCTCAGGCTGACTGCCCCATTTGGCATCCTTCCCCTCCCCCTTGCGAGCAGATCCATTCACTTCCATTTATCTTTCCTCTTCCTTTGAGCCGATGAGAAACGGAAACACTCATTTTCTCTGTGGTGGACAAAGTGAAACCAGAGACACTGATGAGTGTGTCCGAGTGTGTGTGTGTATTATCCTGAGTGTGTCTGTCTGGGCCAGGCAGGGCCAGCCACGTGTCTGTGGGAGTGTGCATGAGTGTGCACATGTGTCCTGTCGTCCTTTCACTATCTGAGGGTTTGTGTTTCAATAGAGCATGTTCACATGTGCGACTGTGCATGGCTGTTGGTAGCAGGGAGTGTAACTGTGCGTGACTGTATGTCTGTGGTGTGTCTTCATTATCAGTTTGGGGTGAGTGTGTGTCCAAGGGTTTGTGGGTGTTCCAGCCCACTGGAAGCAGGTGGGGACTTCGATACCCTGACCAAGACCAACTCCCCATGGTGCCTCCTCAGGCCCCCCATTTCCTCCCTGGGCTCTAGAATAGACTCCCAGAGGCACCCCCATCTGCTGAGCACAGTAAGGGTCAGTCCCCAGAGAGAGCCTTAGGCCAACAGACCTTCCAATCACCCCAGCTCCACACCCCCCAGACCTTCCAAATGCCCATGGCAGTTCCTGGGAGGCTGCCCGTCCCACCAGACAAGGGCACGGGCCTCAGGAAGAGGCAGTGAAGGCAGATAGCAGGGAGGGCTTGTGGGTTGCCAGGGTACCCTGAGAGAGATAAGGGGCATTGCCGTACTGGGAGCTGAGCACGTTCTCACACACACTGAGGGTCTCACACACTGACGGACACTCACAGTAATAACATTGTGGCAGACACCTGCTATCCCCTTACACCCCACAAATGCTCACACATTCACAGGCTCACCCCCCACAAATGCCCACACATTCACAGGCTCACACACGCACACACAGCAAGCAGCCTCAGAGGGTCTGCCCTTGCCTGGCTCGCAGCTCCGGGGCTCCTTCCACTGTGTTTCGCCCAGGACGACTCCTGGGGCTGCTGTGTCTCCTGTTCCAGGTCAGAGATCCTGGGGAGTTCAACGGATCCTCCAACCCCACTCCCCCTGGGCCAAGCCTCCATGGGTCCCATGGGTCGGGGGAAGAGGTTCTGACCCTCTGGCAGGGACATTCCTCTAAACCTCCATCTCCACTCTGGGGGGTGCTACTGGGACTCCTAAAATGTTAGGGACCTGGGGGCAGAGGCAGAAAAGCGGAGAAACAAGGTGACCCACAAGCCAGAAAGCGCAGAGAGGTGGGGAAAGAAGGGTGGGCGAGAGCTGAGGAGCCCTCCCCACCCCCCACCACCCCCACCCCCACCCCCCGGGGCTGGAGGGTCTCAAAGGTCCCCTCCCTCCCGCCTCTCTCACTCTAGTTCCATTTTTCAGGTGGGAAGGGAGATGCCCCGCGGCGAATTGACAAGCTCTGAGCCCTTTTTCAGGGAGTCCCGCCGGAGCCGCTCACCCTCGGGGGCTGGGAGCAAGGGGGACGCTTTCCCCGGAGTCTGCCAGGGCAGCTCTGGTGGGGGAAGTAAGGGGACGCCGGGGAGAAGACAGGCTCCCCCTCCCTAGCGCCGAACCCCATCCGGACCCCACCCGGGAACCCCAAGCCCCGACCCAGCCCCGGCCGTCGGACCTGCCTTAGGAAACCCCAAGCCGGGTCCTGCCCCCCCCTCCGCCCCCCGCGTCCAGGCGGCCGCGCCAGCCTCCCCGCCCGTACCTGGAGGGGCGGCCGCCGGGCGCGGGCCGGGCCAGGGGGCGTCGTCGGCTCCGGCGGGCGGGCGGGCGGCGTCGGGTCCGCGCCGGCGGGGCTCGGCGTAGCTCTGCCTGCGCCCCTCGCGCGGCCGAGTGGGCGGGCGCCGCGGCTGGGGAGGGGGGCGCGGGGCGGCGGGAGGGGCGCGGCGGGGCGGGCTCCACCCTCTTTCCACAGCCACGGCCAAGGCCGGCGCCCCGCCCGCCCCAGAGCGCGCCCCGCCCGGGCTCTGCCGCCTCCCTGCCACCCCGTCGGAGCCCCCGACGCTCCCCACACACTCGTCCCGGTTCGTCCTCAAGCGCCGTGTGTGCGCGGCGTCCCGCGCCCAGAGGGGGGTGCCGCGGCCCCTGCCCGCCTCAGCCGTAGTTTTAAGGGGTCCCAGACCCAGCAGCTGAGGAGGTGTGAGATGGTCAGTGCGCGCTGGGGGGGGGGGGTGAGGGGGGGAGGCGCAGCACAGGGATTGTGACCCCTAAATGAGGCGTCCACAGTAGGATTCCTGCAGACGGCCGCCTAGGCTGAGGGGCGCAAGGCGAGGTGGCGCACGTCGGGTTCAGGGAGGTGAGCCTGTGTGCTCAGAGGCAGGGAACAGCCCGTCTTGAAGGAAGGCCTGTGGAAACTGCGCAGACTTCACCTTCAAGGACGTGGGAGCCACAGAGACTCCGGAGCAGCACCGTGAGGTGACAGGTGGTCGGACTTGTGCTGTCGGAAGAGGCCTCCTGACTTCTGCGTGGAGAAAGATGGAGACAGAGACGTGGTCAGGAGGCTGCCGGACCATCCTGGCTTATGCAGAGGTGGACAGTGGGGCTTGGAGAAAGAATCAAGCGTGAGACGTGCTAAGGAAGTCGGATAGGCAGGGTTTCCATGTGGGGGTGAGGGGCCTGGTAGAAGGAGGTATCAAGGATAGCACCCCGGTTTCTGGTTAGGCATGGGTGGTTCAGAACTTGATTTGGATGTGCCCAGAGGGAGCGAGCCTTCAGGGCTAGAGAGTAGGAACCTGTAGTGTACAGAGGTTGCCTGATGCAGGGGTCCATGCTCAGGAAAGAGGTGCAGGGAGACTGGGGAGCCCAGGCCAGGATGTGGGGAACATGCACATGCGGAAGGCTTGTTAAAGAGGAGCCACTGGGGAGGGGGGAGAAACCAGGAGACCAGTGTCTCAGAAAGCAAAGGCCAAGTGTTTCTAGAAGGCTAAGGAGGCCCCAGAATCAGGTGTCAGACAAGTCCTTTGGGACCTGTAATTAGGGGCTGGTGCTTGGGGTGGGGAGCAGGGGCAGGGGCGGCAACCGGGCTTCGGCTTCGGAGGCCAATGCAGCAGTCACAGAGGAGGTGGTGGAGACAGTGAATGTCTTGGGGGCCGGTGGGGGGAGCATCTATTTAGATTAACTGATGTCTGGAAAGGGATGAGGGGGGCAGTTGGTGTGTGTACTCTGAGAAGAGCTAGCCCCCAAGAAAGATGTAGGGAGGGCCCAAGCCTGCCTATCTGTGTGTCTGGGCCCACCTCCATTGCCCTCTCCCCTTCTTACTGCCTGCCTCCCACTTTGCTGTCCCCCTGCCAAGGTACACACCAGCCCCGCCACTCCTAGATGGGGCCTCTCACACCCTCGCCCACCTCTCTAGCTGGGGCCCACTCATGTCCTATACTCAAATTAGCAGGATCGCAAGGGGTCTTTGGGTCTCACCTCCTGGACTGAGCCAGCCCAGAGGACCTACAGGGAAGCTACACTGGGGTACTGCCAGAAGAAAGAGAGGGTGCCTGGTTGGTGGGGCACCCCCAGGACACTGGTTGAGGCGGAAAGCTGAGAGCTGGTGTGAAAGCCAGAGCTGGTGTGAAAATCAGGCTCTTGATAGGGATCAGATGGGGATTGAGTGTTCGGGTAGGGAGGAGAGGGATGGAAGCTAATAGCCCGGAGGGCAAGTTGGAAGCAAGGACTCTGGAGCTGGACTGCCTGGGTTCAAGTGCAAGCACCACCACACATCAGCTGCGTGCCCTTGAGCAAGTTACCTCACCTCCGATGCCTCAGTTTCCTCATCTGAAAAGCCCTCAAAAGCTTGTTGTAAGGATTTGATTCCATGTAAAGCACTCAGCTCTGGATGTGAGTTGTTCTTTGAGGGGGGAAAGAGCTCAGCTGAGGGGAGCTGGTAAAGCAAGCAGACAAGTGAGGGGGTGCACTGTGGTGGGAAAGGGTCTCCTCCCCTCAGCTCCCTCCCTACCTCCAACTCCACACACACAGACACTCAAACACACTGAGTCCCCGCACCATCCACCCTGATTCTCCTGAGGCCCTCCAGCCAGGTTCTATGTGGCGGACACTGACTCCTTCCCTTTCTCCTTAGTCCAGTGCCCTGCAGGGAGAGCTGCAACTCCTCCTTTCAACAGTTTCCTCTGGGGGGTCAAGTTTGGGCCCTGTCCTCTTCCTGTGATCCCTGGCATTCGCTGGACACCTCCCAGGTGGGCCTTAGCTACCCATCCCCCAGTAGAGACCAAGGGCCATCTTGCCATGGCCTTGCAGCTGCCTCCTCCTCCCCCAGCTCTTTGCAAAGCAAAATTCAAGGCAGGAAAAAAGTGTCTGGGAGCTAGAGGTTGCAACATTGCATGCTCCCTCCAAGGCTCACCTCCCGCTAGGCCAGGCTCCCCATCCCACCTGGTAGGGACTTCCTTCTTTGGTCTGTGTCTGGTGGCATCTGGGTATCAGTGGGTCAGCAATGCTTGAAGCCGCTTGCTGTGTGGTCTTGGGCAAGTCACTGCCCCCTCTCTGAGCTTCGATTCCTTCAGTCACAAGAATCAGAAGCAGGTCAGAGAGGACTCAAGGACTGTTTCAGGCCTGACCAGGAGTAGCAAATGGGTGGCTAAACTGAACCAGACAAGGCATGTAACCTGCTGGGTGCAGCCCCTTGACAGAGTCGCTGCTGGCACCCGCCTGGTGGTTCAGAACGTGGGCTGAGGAATCAAGCCGTTCTGGGTTTGGATCCCAGTTTTGCCTCTCTGTGATTGTGGGCAAGTGACCTCATTTCTCCAGACCTCAAATTCTTCCTCTTTAAGAGGGGAATGAGGATAGCGCCTAATGACAAGGCTAAGCCTTGCAGGGCTCTCATTCTCTGCCACACACGATTCCCAGCACTTGCTGGGGATTAACTAACTACAACAATCCTTTGAGGTTGGTGTTACTATTGTCCCCACTTTGTAGATGGAAACCTGAAGCCCCGATGGAGTTAACTGATTCACCCTCCGTAGGTCCTAGAGCTAGGAAGTGGGTGAGCTGGGAACTGACTTCAAGCCAGTCTCCCTCTTTCCCGTGGTACCATAGGGCTTCGTAGAAGAGATAGTGATGTTGGGCCTCCCCTGGTGGCGCAGTGGTCGAGCGCTGGGCTGCGGAAGCTGCCCGCAGCCTCTGCAGGGACCAGGGAGGGTCCCACATGGCGCGACAGACCTCTCCTGCCGCACCCACTGCTCCCCTCAGTAGTGTATTTCGTCAGTCTGCCTGTTCTGTTCCCAGCTCTGGTTCTGGTGAATTCTCTCACCCTCCCGTGCTTGACTGTACCCAGTGCTTGTATAAATAAATAAATAAATCTTTAAAAAAAAAAAAGAGATGGTGATGTTAAAGCCTTAACACAAGCCAGGCACTTAGTAGTGAGTCAGTATATTAGTGATCATTATTGTTGTCAACATGATTCTCTCCTTCCTTCTAAATTTCTATTTTCATTTGCCAGTAAGAACTCTCTAGGCTCTAAGCACCCCAACTTGGAGGCAGGGGAGGGCCTGGATGATGGAAGCTTCCCCTTGCTACCCCTTCCATCTGTCTGGCAAGCTGAGGGCAGGGAGGCATGTTTGTACAGATGTGTGGCCCAGGGTATGCAAATAGTGTGGAGAGGGGCCTTGGTGCTTCTCTGCCCCTCCACCCCCACTGCTGACTTTCCACACCGGTGGAGGACCAGACTCTTAGCTATGCAAGTCCTAGGAAGCCCGTCCCTCTGTCTAGCCCTCCCTCCTGCTATTCAGTTGCCAGAGATCTCTTCTGAGGACTAGGAAATGAAGACCCCTCTTGCGGCGCCCTCCATTCTCCTTGCTTCCACCCCAGGAGTTTTCTCAGCCCCATCCTCAAAAATCCCAGTAATGCAGTGAAAATTGAAGTTACCTTAAATATTCTAATCTTATAACAATTTTGCTTTAATCATCATCTAAATGTGACCACATGTGTCCAGACCACCCAGTGGCCAGGCTGGTGGGACAAGAAGCTCCTAAAGGGCTGCTCTCAGGCATGGGCCCTGCTCTAGGAGGAGTGGGGTTCCCTGGGGAGCAGATGCATATCACTGGGTCCATCCCCTGCTTTCTCCTGGCCTGCCCACCCTGAGCAACCCTTCCCCTTCCTCAAGGGGCGTCTGGCCCTGCTGGGGGTCTCAGGATACTCTCTCTTAAAGACAGGCTGGGGGAGGGTGTGGATTAGAGGAGGCCAGGGCAGGCTTCACAGGCACGTGCACACAGCTCCCCCCTCAGAAAGGCTGCTTTAACACTCCCCCTGGTGCTTTTGAAATTCATAGTTTTTTAAAAAGATTTATTTATGCATACAAGAACTGGGGTACAGGTCAGACGTGTGGGGGACGGTGAGAGGATTCACCAAAGACAGAGTGGGGAACAGAACAGGCAGACTGACTGAAATACACTGCTGAGGGGAGCAGTGGGTGAGACAGGAGAGGTCTGCTGTGCCATGTGGGTAGCTCCCTGGCTGGGGATCGAACTCGTGCTGCAGTGGCTGTGGATAGCTTCATAGGTTGTCTTAACCCCTTGCGCCACCAGGGAGGCCCTGAAATTCATAATTTTTTAACTGGGGGCTCTGCATTTTCATTTTGCACTGAGCCCCATATATTATGTGGCTGGTCCTGGTGGAGGCCCCTGCACCTACACACCCTTCTCTCCAGGGTCCTCACTCCACTCACATGCTCTGTCAAAGCCCAGACAATAAACAATGAGCACCCACTTTGTGCTGAAAAGAAATACTAGATGCTTGGGGATTCAGTGATGAACAACAGACCCACCCCAATTTCTCAAAATTAAGTCGCACACAGACACTCACACATAAACCCACACACAATAATTTACAAGACAGTACCCTCCTACAATCGTGTTACTCATAGCTGCCAAGTGGGGGACACTTAGCATGTGCAGGGAAATTTACATGCTTCATCTTGTTTCATCCTCAAAACAGTCAGCATGGTAGGCCTTGTTATTCCCCTTTTCCAGATGAAAAAACCGAGTCTCAGAAATCAAATCCTTTGTCTAATGTCACGTAATCAATAAGGAGCAGAGCGAGGACTTGTCTTTGTCTTTCATTTTCCTTTTAAAGATTTATTTTATTTATTCATACATACAAGAACAGGAGTGCAGACCAGAGGTGTGGGGGAGAAGGGGGTAGAGGGGTTAGAGGATTCACCAGAGACAGAGTGGGGAGCAGAACTGGTAGATCCACTGAAATACACTGCTGAGGGAAGCAGCGGGTGAGACAGGAGAGACATGCTGCGCCATGTGGGTATCTCCCTGGTCCGAGGATCAAACCCATGCAGCAGTGGCTGGCAATAGCTTGACAGTGCTGAGACTTTAACCCCTGTGCCACCAGGGATGCCCTGTCTTTCATTTTCAACCTGTCCTCTGCACCCCCTACACACACATTGTATTCAGCCACTTTCTGGTGGACAGAAGCTCCCACCTCCAGGTGCCCAGACCCTATCATAGGCCTGTGATCATCACTGAATCCCCTTTGTTAAATGAAAGAACTCACATCCAGACACACTCCCCAAAGGACCCAAAGAAAAATACACACACTGAAACACAAAAACACACATCTGTAACACATGATGTACTGGATAAGAGCCCGGTGTCTGATCCTGGATGATTTGGGTTCAAGTCCTAACTTTACAATATATTAGCTGAAGATCTCAGTGTTTTCATCCACAAAATGGGAATGGTGATAAGGTTGCTGTGTCAAAGGAGAAATACAGGCCAAGTGCTGAGACTGGCACTGGCATATAATCACTCTTCACAAGTATCAGCTGTTGCCATGAACACATTTGTCGACACTCACACACATGGCATCGCACCCATCGCGTTGTGCTCCCAGCCCCCCTCTAGTCTAGCTCAGTGCTAGATGCTCTCAGGCTGACAGTTCAGGCCCCCAGGACCAGGAGGGAAAAGCAGCTGCTTCTCTTGGTCTCCTCTGGATGGCTCAGGGTGTGTTAGCGAGCAGGTTGCTGTTCTTCACCAGCAGAGACTTACATGCTTCATCTTGTTTCATCCTCAAAACAGTCAGCAAGGTAGGCCTTATTATCCCCCTTTTCCAGATGAAAAAACCAAGTCTCAGAAATCAAATCCTTTGTCTAATGTCACGTAATCTGGGTCCCTCAGAGACTTCCTGGAGGAGGCCTCCCCCGAAGCCTATTAAAGGAGGGTGGCTCCTCTCTGCCACTCTTCCTCATAACACCCCCAACCTCCTGTGGAAGCCCTTTCCCGACCCCCTTCGCCACAGTAGACACTTTCCTCTCCTCCTGCCAGAAGCGTAAATTGCCCCCAGGAATGCACTGCGTCCCACAGCTCCTCTGGCAGTGGCCAGCAGCAGTCCTGGGGTCAGGCCTGGCCCTACATCAAAGGCTGGAGATCGGTAACAGCCACAGCGAGGCTCCTAGCCTGCCACCACTTTCCCTCCCCTCCCTCCACTTCCCTTCCCCTCCCACCGGCCCTTTGGCTTCCAGGGAACAGCACATGGTAGCACTTAAGCTCCTGAGGAGGGAGGATGCTTTTCCTAACCAACCCCCTCCCCCCCCCCACCAATCCACAATGAACTACTTGTTAGGAGACTGTTTTAATTTTACTTAATGCAATTTCTTCTTCTAGGCCTCGGCTGCCACTTCCTTGGAGTACAAAGACAGGTAAGGGAGGCCAAACCACCGGGGAAGGTGTAACCTGAATACAGAAACATCACTGGTGTTGGGGGCCTGTGCTAGACTCTTACATCAGGGAAAACTGGCTGGTGCTCTGGTCTCCACTCAGGAAGTTTGTGGGGTAGAGGGGGTGGGGTTGGTTAAGGGAAGGCTCAGAGCTAGCATGTCGAACTCAGGAGGCCAGCTTGAGAGCCTGGGGTTCAGCTTCACCACTGTTCTTTCTAAGGCCCCGGCTTTGGTGGGCAGGCCCTCAGCCAGGAGCCTTGTGAGCTTTGCTTTCCGGGTCCATGGGGAAGATTGAGGAAAAGGGCACGTCCAGGCTCTGATTTTGCTCCATCAGGTGCATCTTCTAGCAAATTCTGAAAACCAGGGGTCCCATGGCCACACTCTGGGATAGCACAGTGATGATCTGGAGACCCCTGGTGGCCAGAGGCTGCAGAGGGAGGATTTTTCTTAAAGCTTTGTCCGGGCCTTTAAGTCCAGAGGCCACCCCCTTGGACTCCTCAGGCCAGCCCAACCCTGCTCCAGCCCTTTGGGAACCTTCCTCATCAGTCAGTCCCTCCCATTATAGCCAAGCAAAATTGCCCCTCTTGCTGGAAGGAGGTGCCAGTACATCAAGGAGAAAGGGAATGGCCTAGCTGGGGGCCGTCTCTGGAAAACAGAGGGATATGTAACATATAACCAGTTATGCAGAAGCAAGCTTGCAGGGGCTTGTATATTTGGTTCACTTGGGAGAGATGATGACGCCATGTCGCACAAAGCTTTATAGTCCTTGGTCTTTTTTCCTCCTTCCCTGGGCCCCAGGGTGCACATCACACAACTAACTGTGGGGCTGTAATGGGAAGCCACCAAGGAGGCTTTGTTTCCACCACTTGCCAACCCTGTAAAGTTGCATGAGTTTAACTCTGGGAAAGGAAATTTCCAAAACCTCACACCATGCAAAAGTCTGCAGGGAAGTTGTTTGTGGCACCAAAGGAGAGGAAGTGTGAGGATCCCCTGGAGAAGGGACAGGTAGTGAACTCACTTCCTAGCTGGGTGCAGACATCCCACAAAGCTTTCCACATCTGGGCCCCACCATCCATCCCCTTCATCTCTCCTCCATACAGTCTAACTGGTGTGACCAGACCCAGTCCTATACTGGGTGGGTGCTGACACAGATGACCAAACTGGGGTGTGTGTCCTGGGCCCCAAATTGTACCTGGAGGGAGAGGTAAAGAGGCTTGGAGGATGGGATCCCAGAGGAGCACGCGCCTCCCTATACTAGGGACACAGAAGTGGCCTTTCCCCCTCAGTGGTCTAACCCAGCTGGAGGAGGAAGGTCCTGTGCAAACTGCAGCCTACTAGTGCCGGAACCCCAGTCCCACCACGTGTAACCAAGTCAGAGTTTGAGCACAACGCATAAAACATCTCCCCTCGTTCAGCCTGTGCGCTAACCTCGGGGACCTGGAGTCCCTGAATATCTGTCCTCAAGAAACAGTGCCACCAAATATGGCCTGACCACCTCTGATCCCTCCCTTTAAAAGGTATCCTGAGCTCCGCAAGGCTGAGAGAGGGAGCCCTGAGCCTGCAACCACCCCTCTTCGTGCCCCCGGCCCCCTCAGTGCTAACCAGCCATTAACAGAGTATCTCTAAGAACATGGGCTCTGCAGTTTGGCTGGGCCTTTGAACCCTAGTTTCCCCACTTACTAGCTATATGATCTTGGGTAACTCGTGGCCTCTCCTCTGAAAATGGAATCACTGTGAATTAGCTAATGCATACAAAGTGCCAACTACAGTGCTATGTGATAAATACTCAATTAATGGTACCTCACATGAGGGTTTACATGGTTTTTCTAGTCACATTTAGTGCCCAAGAGTCCAAGATAGTCCATTTTATGTACGTCTGGGATAACAGTCTGACTTCTAGGTGTTTCTATAGATAATAGACCCAACAATGACCCTGATGGGCCTGCATCTGCGCCCAGGTTTCCCAGGCTCTCCAGTCTGTGGGGAGAAGTCATCCCTACACCAAATAAAATCAAGGCAGGACCTAGGGGCTTAGCCAATCTCTTTACCCAATTATAACAAAATTCTCAGGGCTGAGCAAAAAGAAAACAAGACATGATTGGGATTTCATTCAAGAATCTGTCTTTATTGAAGAACTTGTAAGAAAAAAGGATGGACCCTCTGTAAAAAGAGGAGATGTTGCCTCCTAACAGCAGGGAGGCATGAGATCTGGGTGGCTTCCCAGAAGTCAGTGTTTCCCGCACGACTGGCTCCCCTTTCCTGGCAAGCTCTGGAGTATGTCACACTGCAGCTAGCAACACCACCCACCCCCGCCAGCTCTCCTCCCCCAGCCCACAACCCTGGCTTCCTAGAGTCATTTACGAACGGCTGTCTGAAGGCCCAGGAGTAGACTGCCGCGTAATGGGTCAGAGTGGGCTTTGCTTTGGAAAATTCAAACAGGAATGTAAAATGGCTTGAGCTCTTTCTAGTCCAACCAAGGATGACTACATCCTTGAAGAAAAAGGGAGCAAAGAATTTCCCTCCTGAATATGCACACTTGTGGAGCAAATAGACTCTATCAATCTGCTCTTTATTAGCATGGAGAATGGAAACAAGGTTAGAAGAATATATAACACCCGTGTTATAAAGAGTCACTGAGTTCTAGAGGACAGAGGGAGCAATGAGGCCTTCTGATTCCAACAAGTGCCCCTGCTGGCTGCCCGCAGACCTGGGGCTGGTCATTCCTCTCCAGCAGGGAGATTGTCCTCAATCCTCCTGATGAATCTCATCCGGATTTCTGTCACACCATCTCCTTTCAGGGTGTCCTGGACAAACTTGGCCTCCACAGCCATCTGGACCTGGGGGACAGTGGGAAAATAAAGGGGCAGCTGCCTACCCACAACTTCTAGGGAACTACTGCAGAGGGGCTACCCACAGTAGCCCAAAAAGGGGGGCTGGTTTCCCACAAGGACAAGATTGCCCAGTTCTACTGTTCCCTTGCCAAAGACAGTGGCCCACACCCACAAGGAGAAACAGCAAAAAACCCCATGAATGAGACCGTCACCAATAAGCCAATCTGGGAATGGTGATCCTGGGCTTTTGGGGGTTGGCAGCATCACCTCCCAGCCTCGTGGGGAGCATGTCACCATGCAGAGACATCCAACCAGCCAGGGAGCAAAGCACTGGGGCAAGCCAAAGGCTCTCCTTTTCTCTCTCATTCATTCACTCAGACATTTATCAAGCCCCAACTAGATTTCAGGTGTCCCAAAGAGTAAAGAGCTGTACTCACCATCTCCAAGGCTCCCCGCAACACCCCACACAAGAGATTGGAATAAATAAGGGATGAGTGGTTATCAGGAAGTTCCACAAAGTCCACCAAGGGGTTATTTTCCAAAATGAGGGAGAATTCATCACCAGCAGGGCTCCAATTGGTGATACTCGGAGTGATGCCCAAGTACATCTTGAACGCCACCTGTCAGGGGACACACACCAGCACTATGGAGAGGAGCAGTTGGGGCTGGACGACAGGGAAGGTGATGGGACTGGCCAAGGAAACTCAGTGGCTCAGGAACAAAACTGTGGCCTCTACAGAACACTGAAGTGTTAGGTATTCGAGGCAAAAAAGGAGAAGCATCTTCCCCTTCAAGCATCACATTAATACAGTTAAGCTCCACTTGCTGACCACCTTCTCGATGGAAGGGAGCACTAATCTTTTGATGGGTGGCTGCCCTAATCCAGCATTTGAGTGAAGAAAGGCTCTAGCCACATCCCTGTCCTCTCTCTGTGCTACCTGAACCCTTCTTGAAAGTGAACACAGCACACGGGGGCAGAATTACTCTTAAGACATCTTCTACCAACCCTCTCTAGGACCTGGGCATGTCCAGCAGGCTCTATAACAGACAGAATCAACCTGCAGGCAATTGATTCCACAAAGCCATGGTGTTTCATCATTAGTACTACAGGATGTAATACTAAAGTTAGGAACAGCAGTTACTACACACACACTATGTTAACTGCATTAATTTTACCTAAATACTCATATTCATTATTTCATTTATTCCTTACAACCCTGTGAGGTAGCTCTTTTTTTTTCTTTTTTTCATCTTAAAGATGAGGTAACTGGTAATTAAAAAGGATAAAAGTAACTTACCTAAGAACTAGTAAGTATTGGAGCCAGAATTTGAAAGCAGGCTTGTCTGAGTCCAAAGCCTATATTCTTAGCCCATGTTACTCTGCTACATCTTCACCATGAAGGGGATCTGGCTTTGCTTTCAGTGAGGCTTTAATCCAAAGGGATGCTCTTAACCACTCTTCCTTCTTTCATACTCTGTGCTATTCCCAAACTACCAGGAAGGCTTCTTTGGCCCAAAGAGCTGCCTACTTAGCCATCTGGAATACTAGGAGCCTCTCTAAGGGAGATGGAGAGTGGTAAGCAGCGCCTCCCAACGATAATCCTTCAGCGCGGCCAGGGGCCCAGGATAATGACCTTGGCGATGACATCTGCAGTTTCCCGAAAGTCGTGGCACCTCCCAACATTTGACCGTGCCAAGAAATCTTCTATCAGTCGGACTCCAATGTTATAGCCCCTGGAAAGGACAAGAAAACAGACTATATAATAGCATCTGAATGTCCCATGTCTGAACATAAGGCTATTGGTAGTAAAGGGAAAATGGAGATAATCCCAAAACATTCCAATAAATGAGCTCAGTGCAAATTTTACCCAAATATTGGTTATGAGAAAGGGGACCCTGTTCTGGCTCTATAGGACCATGTAGATTCACTGTGCTAGGAAGCCCTCCTCTTATTTCTCCCACAGAGACTCTCACTCACATTTTGTCCAGCTGTTTATTCACATCTTCATCATTTTCATAGTCTTTGCACAGCTGAGTGACCAGAGCACCATAGGTCAGTGTGAAGAGCTCAGAGCTCTACAAGAGATTCAAAAGGCAGTCAGGATCAAAACCCACAAAAGAGAAAGTCTGGTGAGAGTCTGGATGGGACTTGATGCAACTGTCGGGATTCAAAGGAAAGTCACCTGAGTCTTGTGGGAAAGATCATTATTCCCTGTGGAGTGGCCACAGGATGTGGCTGCCCAGGGTCAACATGGCTCCGCTGCAGCCAAATCCACTCGGAAAACCAGATCCTGTAAAAGGCACCCTGTGTACCAAGCAGTCACTCTTCCAACACAGCAACAGCAGGTGGGCTTCTGCCAGCCCCTTAGGAACCCACCACAGCTGCCACGCCTAAGCTCAGGTCACAGAATCTGGCATGAGAGTGATAACTGTTCCCCAGACACTAGGAAGGACAAAGAAGATGCTTACAAATCAGCCTCTGTGAGGCGTGACCATACATGCCTTAGCATGTATGGAGTGTCCTGCCATGCAGTTAAAGCGCAGTACCCTGGGCAGCACAGGACCTTCACCGGTTCAGAGGGAAGAAGTCACCAGCATTGGAAAAAATAATGTTCCTCTTCACACACACCTAACGTGTTCCCTGGAAAGAGAATAACTGACAAAAATACAACCTTTTATGTTCCAGGAACACAATATTGACCTGGACTGGTTTCTACTTCAAACGCACCTGAAGTCACAGAAACTCTCAGATAAACAATCCTGTCACCTATTTACCAAGAAACAGCTGAGGAAGGTGTAAAGAATGGCAAATACCAAGACTGCAGATGAAAGCAGCAGGTAAGGGGAAGGCATGAGAGTTAAGCAAATTGAGAAATATGAACAGCACATCTGGATAACGGACCTGCACAGAAATATGGTGGAAAAATCAAGACTGCCACCAAACCACTCCCTTCTTAATGGGGGCTTGTCAACTGGGGCAGAGCACCCTTCTGTCTTCAAGTCTTCCACGGAAGAAGAGCCAAGTAATGCCAAGGACCCAGGCTCTCAGGACCCAATGTTCCCTCCTAATCACCATGGTAATGCCCTTTGTTTACATACCACATTCTACTTTTTTAAAAGATTTATTTATTTATTTATTTATTTAAGATATTTATTTATTTATTTATTTTTAATTTTTTTTTTTTTAATAGAGGCATGTTTTATTTATTTATTTGTTTGTTTTGTTTATACATGCACTGGGTACAGTCAGAAGCGCGGGAGGGTGAGAGAATTCACCAGAGCCAGAGCGGGGAGCAGAGCAGGCAGAAGGACCGAAGTACACTGCTGAGGGGAGCAGTGGGCGGCAGGAGAGGTCTGCGCGCCATGTGGGACCCTCCTCTGGTGGCCGGGGAGCAGCCGGGGATCAAACCGGCGCTGCAGAGGCAGCGGGCAGCTTCGCAACCCAGCGCTCAACCACTGCGCCACCGGGGAGGCCCTATTTATTTATTTATACAAGCACTGGGTACAGTCGGAAGCATGGGGAGGTGAAAGAATTCACCAGAGCCAGAGCAGGGAGCAGAGCAGGCAGAAGGACTGAAGCACACTGCTGAGGGGAGCAGCGGGCGGCAGGAGAGGTCTGCGCGCCATGTGGGACCCTCCTCCGGTGGCCGGGGAGCAGCTGGGGATCGAACCGGTGCTGCAGAGGCTGCGGGCAGCTTCACAACCCAGCGCTCAACTGCTGCACCACTGGGGAGGCCCAGATTTATTTATTTTTATACAAGAGCTGGGGTACAGGCCAGAGAAGCGGGAGGGTGAGAAGATTCACCAAATACAGAGTGGGAAGCGGGACAGGCAGACGACCAAAATACACTGTTGTGGGGAGCAGCAAGCATGACAGGAGAGGTTTGCCGCGCCATGTGGGACTCTCCCTCGCTGGCCGGGAATCGAACTGGCACTGCAGAGGCTGCGGACAGCTTCACCCACTGCGCCACCGGGAAGGCCTACCACATTCCATTTTTTAGCTCATTGTTTAGCCCACCCTAAGGCAGAAAAGGCAGAATTAATCCCATTTTAGAGATGAGGAAACAGACTGGAAATGGTTATGTGACTTGCCTAAGGATAAAGCTGATTATTAACAAAAGTAATTTGGGGAACAAAAACCAAGAGTTTCTTAGTTAATAGCCATTCTACCCAGTGTTACCCACAACCGCAATATTAATAAGCCCCCTTTAAAAAAAAAATAACTCAGCTGCTCTAGGGAGTCAAAGAGAATCAGTTTTGGAATCAGAAAGCTCTTTGAACTCAACTAAAACAATCAGATCAGGTGTCTCCAAGAGACCATTTACCAAATATAGCAATTAAAGGAAGCTATTAAGGAGGAGAATGATTTTTCAGTAAAGTTAAGGGTTGGCAATAGAATGGCTTGGGCATGAATGAATGGAGACAATCCAGCAGTTACCAGTCCATAGTGTTGGCACCACTGCATTAAGTCAGGAGAGTTTTCCTTCCATTATTAATGAGCCCTTAGAAGTAGAGTCCAAGAGCCTCAGCCCACCATGATGCCAAGTTAACAGCGTATTATGTTACCAAACACCTTATACATGCAGTAGCCCCCAAGTTACCAAGAAGAAAACTAAAGGTCCTAGAAAGATCTGTCCATGGCCACAGAATCCGTATGTCTGGGATCTGGGAATGGGATCCCTAACCCAGTCTCTCCACACCACTCTTAATTTGCAAGTCTGATTCCATCTTCAATTTTGAATCCAGTTTATTTGTAACAAGGAGCAGTCCAAATATATAACTATCCTGGGAGCTGGGGTGGAACCTATAGGTTCCTGCTGAAGTTTTCTTACTTTAAAAATAGGAATGGTATGGTAAAAAAAATCATTCATTCAACATTTACTATGTACCAGGGACTATCTTACTAGAGGGAGACAGAAAATAAATGGAATAAATAAAATATATGGTTCGCCAGATGGTGGAAAATACTATGAAGAAAACTAAGCACCATAAAAGACTTAGGGAGTATAATGTTCATGTGTATGTAGTGGGCAGTCAATTTTAAATAGGGTAGTCAGAGATGGCCTCATTAAAATGCTATTTGTGTAACAACCTGAGGGAAGTTGAGGGTAAGCCATTAAGATATCTGCATGAAAAAAATCTAGGCAGCAAACACTAGATGGAAGTGTATTATCTGTCATGTTTGAGAAACAGCTAGAAACCAGCATGATGAGAGAGGAGTGGACAAAGGAGAGAACAGAAGAGGAAGTCAGGGCCTCCCTGGTGGCGTAAGGGTTTAAGACGCAACCCATGAAGCTATCTGCAGCCACTATAGCATGAGTTCGATCCCCAGTCGGACAGGGAGCAACCCACATGGCATAGCAGACCTCTCCTGATTTGCCTGCTACTCCCCTCAGCAGTGTATTTCAGTTAATGTGCCTGTTCTGTTCCCCCACTCTGTCTCTGGTGAATCCTTTCACCCTCACACTTCTGGCCTGTACCCCAGTTCTTGTATGCATAAATAAATAAATCTTTAAGAAAAAAAAGAAGAGGAAGTCAGAGAAGTCTGAATACCCGGGTTTCCTGTTCTTTTGCTTCTTTACCATGACACCCTTAAAGGTCAGCTAATTCAGCTAGTCCAGTTGCCACACAACAGAAACATGACTGCTTTAACCATATTTAAATTATTTATAATTGTCATCAACACTTATAAAACTTTCAAAATGTCTTCACAGATAATTTCTCATTGATCCTTTTAACAACCATAAGTTAGCAAAACAAACATTAATTGTCCCCATTTTACAGGCAACAGATTAAATAAGTCTTCTTTCTTAAAGTCACGTGTTCCCAAACCATTGCTTAATCTCCCCAAACACCAGGTTCCCATCTACACAATATAACAAAGATGACATATTATCTGGCCTTCAGGATTACCAGAAGATTCCACTCAGAAAACGTCTGTAGATCATCTGCTGCACAGCACCTACTCAAGAAGTAGATGTGGTAACATTTATTCTTTTTTTTTTTAAGATTTATTTTTATCTATTTATGCATACAAGAACTGGGGTGTAGGCTATAGGTGTGGGGGGGAGGGGGCAAGAGGATTCACGGAAGATGGATTGGGGAGCAGAACAGGCAGACTGATTGAAATACACTGCTGAGGGGAGCAGTGGGTGAGACAGGAGATGTCTGCTGCACCACATGAGTCAGCAGCCTGGCTGGGGATTGAACCCATGCTGCTGTGGCTAGCGATTGCTTAACAGTGCTGAGACTTTAACCCCTGTGCTGTTCTGCAGACCAAGAGACCACAGTTTCATACCGCAGAGCCAATGTGATTTCTAAGTACTTTAGGCACAACGTAAGCAGAGTAAGTCAAACCAAGCCCTACACTCAGGTGAGCTACTGCACTGATGGTTTTCAAAAGGCTTTCAATTAGTGCCACAAACAAAAATCAAATCTCCTTCAGTGGGCTGATCCTGGAGTCAATGCTTCAAGAGTCACACTATTTTTGTCAATGCCAAGTTATCCAGAGTGACTGTCCTCCAGAAGTTCAGGAAGGGATGTCAGCAACAGGATTAAGTCCAGCCCTCTCTTATTCCCCAGCCTCCTGTCATGGAGACTGTGTACTGCTACTAAGTAATAACTCACTTGGACTCTGGAGAACTGAGCCACTGGGATTGGATAACTAGCAACACAACTAAAGGACAAGTCTAATTATCCGTGGGATTCAAGAACCAGCACTATACAGACACACAAACGCTAATTCTTTTACTAACAAGGGTGCTGCTGACATTTACTTGTGTCAACTCTGTTCTTAAGTGCATTGTCACACTGCTAGTTTTATATGCATTACTTCACTCTTCTGATAAAAATCTTTATTACCTTTTTAAATTAATTTTTTAAGGATGGAGAAACCGATGCTTAGGACAATGAAGAAACTTGCCTGAGGTCACACAGTAAGTAGGCAGTGAAGCCAAGACTCAATCCCAGACAATACTATACCCCTGTGTGTTGGCATTTTTTTGTCCCTCTCAGAGTACAGTGGTTCTCAAGGACTTCATCTCTGCATTTCCCACAGCACCAAGCACACAGCTTTCATGTAGTTGGAAATATGCTACAGGAATGGGCTGTCTGCACAGACTAAAAGCAGAGATCAGGTAACTTGAGCATATTAACCATTTAAGTCTTGGACGATTTTATGTAGGAACACTGCAATTCGCAGAAGGTTGGGCTGATTGGGAAGAGGGCTGCGAGAGGCATAGAGTCACCAGAGAGGACAGAAGCAGGTCAAAACCAGGTGGCCACAAAGATCATGTGACAAGCCCCAATTAGCCACCAGTATTTGAATGAGCGGAACCACCAAGTATTTGTTTTTTTTTTTTTTAATTTTTTTTTAATAGAGGCATGTTTTTTTATTTATTTATTTGTTTGTTTGTTTGCTTGCTTGTTTTATACATGCACTGGGTACAGTCAGAAGCGCGGGAGGGTGAGAGAATTCACCAGAGCCAGAGCGGGGAGCAGAGCAGACAGAAGGACCAATGTACACTGCTGAGGGGAGCAGCGGGCGGCAGGAGAGGTCTGCGCGCCATGTGGGACCCTCCTCCGGTGGCCGGGAAGCAGCCAGGGATCAAACCGGCGCAGCAAAGGCCGTGGGGCAGCTTCGCAACCCAGCACTCAACCGTTGTGCCACCGGGGAGGCCCCCACCAAGTATTTGTGTCACTCATTCAATAAATAAAAATTGCCAAGTGCTAGGCATTATTTCAGATGCTACGAATGGAACAGTGATCAAAACAAATCCCTATTTTTGTGGAGTTGACACTTTCATGAGAGAGACTGAAAATAAGTAAATATGTAATTTGTAATAAAACATTCAAAATGAAATAGTGCTATTAAAAAAAGTGCTAAAAAGAGAAAAAACAGTAAGAGAAACTAATTAGTAGGTGGTCAGAGAAGGCCTCTCTGAGGAGGTGACATCTGAGTCAAGTGTGAATGAAATAAGGAGTAACTAGGTGACTCTATGGGGGCAGGCAATTCCAAGCAGAGAACACAGCATTACAAAAGCCTTAGCAGGAGTGTGCACCCATCCTAG